CAAAAAATAATTTTTGTGGGACAAATTAAAAGTTATGACATAATTTATTTTTAAATAAATTGTATGCAGTTTGTTTTATTAAGGATAAAAATCACAAAACGGTCAAAATGACCGCTACGGGCGTTCTTGTGTCAAAATCTCATTATCAAGGTTAATCGTGTTCATGAAAAAAAGTATTCATGCGAAAATAGTAGCTGAATACTGAGGATATGGAGAATTTAACGTGCCAAATGTAAACTTTAAAAAACGTTTTTTTTTTTTTTAAAATTTAGCTTCCAGTTCATTAGCCGGTGTTTTATCCACACATTCAACAGTTTTATTCAGTTCATCTAAATCAGTCAATTTTGTTTCTGGTGCCCATAAAATAGAAATTATTGTTCCAAAAACTAGAATAGATGACAATATTAACAATGTTATTCGAAGTTTAAAATATTCAATTAATAATGGTAATAAAAATGTTCCAGTAGCTGAACCAAAACGACTAACAGCTGTTACAAATCCAGTACCTGTTGAACGTATATGAGTTGGAAAACTTTCAGCTGGAAATATGACAACCAAATTACAAACAGCTGACATAAATAATGTAAAAATAGCAAATATAATTATGCATAATATATTTAATGCCTTCTTATTAGTATTAGATAAAAAACTAAGTAATGTAAGAGATATAGTAAGAATAATAAACGAACCAATAAGAAAATGACGTCGACTTAATTTAATAGTTAGACCGATACCGATAAAAGCACCTAATAATAGAAAAAAATTTAATAATAAATCTGTTGTAATACTTTGTGTTATATCCATACTTTTTAAAATAATTGGAAGAAATGTATAAATAGCAAAATATGGTATAACAAGACAAACATAAAATAAACAATTAAATAATGTTAAACGAATAAATTTTTTATTAAATAATGTTAAAAAATTACTCTTTTCAGTCGGTTTTACCATATCTTGATTATTAATAACAATATCTTTATTTATATATTTTTTTATAATATCAAATGCTTCATCCATACGATATTTTGTCATTAACCATCTTGGTGATTCTGGTGTACCAATTCTTGATATTAAAACAATAATTGCGGGTAAAACAGCTGAGACAAGCATCCATCTCCATATACGTGAATTTTTATTTATTAAAAGATAACCAATTAGAGTAGAACATACATAACCAACTGTCCATATAACACTAAAAGAGCCAAGTATTGAACCACGATGTCTTTTTGGTAAAATTTCTGCTAACATTGTATGACCTGCACTATAATCACCACCTATACCAAAACCAATTAAAAAACGTAATATAACTAATTCTATTTTATTACGAACAAAATATTCAAATATTGTTGCAATTGTAATTATAATAAAACTACATACAAATATTTTTTTTCTACCAAAATGATCCGATATCCAGCCAAGTATTAAACTACCAAAAAACAGACCAATTAATGCTGAACTACCAATAAATCCTAGCCAAAATGAGCTCAGATTCATATGCACCGCAAGTAATGGTAATACCATACTAATCATTCCTAATTCATAACCATCCGTGAAAACGGCACCAAACATTATGGCGGTCATTTTATAATGAAATCTATTCAATGGAATATTATCCAAATTAAGTATTTTGTTGTCATCGCCGACCATTTCTTACACATATGTTTTGTTAACTGATAAAAAATGTCTTAGTTTTCTGGAAAAAATTAGCAAATATATGACTATTGTACTACGTTAGTGCGTGTCACTTATGGTATTTACATTCTCTAACATACTCATTGCTTTAGATAAGAAAATAAAGATTGATTCCCCAACGAACTAATATAAGCGAACGAAACTCTTTCCATTGTATTTATTTTTTCAAATGTATCTTTATCTAGATTGGAAGAGGAATAATACTTATGCCCTTTCCTTAAATGTCCTTTTATATATGTAATGCGATAGATCAAAAAAATATAATGTCTTTCGTTTTCTAATCTAAGATTGATTATTCATTTACTGTAAAAGAGGACACAACCTTTACCATTCTGTTTAGTTTTTGTGTTATTTTTCTTGTCGTTGGAGAGAAAAAAAGAGATCAAACGACAGAATACAGGAATATGGCATTCCTTCTTATTCTTGACAAATGCGTCGCGTTTCTAAAATAGGATGATAGTACTTTTTCATTTTATCGACTTTTACTTTTATGAGACCAGCTAATTTTTCAGGGCAGAATATAAATGCCATTTGCGTCGTAACTATTGTTCCTCTTAAGAATATCACGGTCACTTTTTTCCATTATTTTATAACAGCCTTTCGAAGTTTTCCTGAACGATGACTCATTTGGACAGCAGTGTCCGGATTCTTTCAATTCCTGCACTTCTCTTTTCGCACAAGAATTACTCGCTAACCATCGGAATTTTTATACTGGATACATTATGTTATAATTATTTTAGGCTTGACATCTGGCTGCACAAAATTCTCGAGTTTCCCTTTTTACTCAAAGGAATTTCTCAGTACACAACAAGTAGAAATTAAACTGAGCGGGAACGCTTCTTTTCCACAAGAACTTCGCGAATTTGGACGGGAAACTCTCTCTAGCAAGAAGGAATTACTCTCCTCCTACAAGAGTTTCTTTCGTAGCTAGCAGGAATTCCTTTCCTTCCACAAGACTTTCACTTCTGTCTGAAGGGAATTTTTTGCCTTTCACAGGAATTTCTCTTGTAATCAAAACTAGAAATTATAGCACAGAAATTCCTTTGAAAGAGAAGAAATCCCATAGATGGAGGAGAAATTCTTGTTGAAGAAAAGAAATTCTCCCTCACTAGGAGAGAAATTCTTCTGCAGCTTTAATTCCTAGTTTTGGTTATCAGAGAAATCTCTTTGAAAGTCATAAAATTCCTGTCAGATACAAGAGAAATTCTCGTCGGGGATAGAAATCCCTCGTATCTAGAAGAGAAATTCTCGTAGGGAGGTTCTCATCCAACGAGTATTTTCTTCTGTCTGACGGGGAATTTGTTGACTTTTAGAGGAATTTCTCTGATAATCAAAATTAGAAATTAAAACTGCACGAGAATTTCTCGCTTAGTGAAGAGGGTATGAGTTTGAGTAGAGAAGTTAAAAATTTCATGAATGATTTCACACGTGCATTCTAAGTTACAACAAGGACTGCTGTTTGCTAATATGGTACTCTACGAAAAAACAGTTTACCATAATTCTTTGTACTCTTTCCTGCACTGCCCAAAAGCCAAAAGAGAAATTTTCGTGCAGTTTTAATTTCTGGCTTTGATTAGAAAATCCTGTTGAAGTAGAAAAATTCTCATTTGATAAGAGAACTTCCGGAATTGCGGGAATCCGAACATCCCTACATTTGGAAAAGTTTGTTTCGTCTAACTTAACCTTATCACTTCAACCTGTTTGTCGTGTTATTGAACAATGAGCACCGAAACTATCTATATATTGTGTGTTTCTAAGTGCGGACACTTAAGCAAAACAAAATGGAGCTAGAAACCGGCGGTTGAAGTTTGGTTACACGGTTTTCAATCCGGTTCCTTCATCTTAAAAAGTTTAAGCTAGAATCAACCTACTTTCGGACGGTTGGGGAGGTTCCATCTAGGAGCTATTGCATGAGAGAAACAACAAGTCATGCTTAATCGATATCTCAGATTTGCTTTTAACTAGTCCTGTCTTGGTCAGCATGTGTGAAAACCTATAAATCTAGATTTTGGAGCGTCTACCACTTTTACTTTCTGAGTGGTTTTCTAGAGTCCGCTCGACGAAAATTCATCGTCTAAAAAATGGAGAGCAAAAATAAAAATTCTGTTTCTCGACCAGGACAAGTGATGGACGAGGGATTTTTTCATCCTATATAGTGCATTGCACGGTCTATCCGATAATACGATCAGATCGTTTTTAACTTGGACCTTCAGCCGGACACCGAAGGTCTTCTGAGGATCTAAGGGATTTATATTGTTTGACGCCGTTCTCGAATGTGTGGCTTAAGTATAAAACGAGATGTACTTTTCATAGACATTAAAGTGTGGACTATCCGAATCCGGTGTTAAAAGGTTAGAGTATCCCTCTGGAGATTTCCAGAATCCCTTTAAGTTTACTAAAAAAGTTTTTAAACTACATAACTGGAAAGAGCACAAAATCTGAACAAAATGAGGTATTGATCATAATTTTAGCAATTACTTTAAAAAGGTGAGAAAATAATAGATGTCCAAGCAAAAATAGCTTACTATAAAAGCCTAATTTTTAGGTTATCGGATTTATGGCTTAGAAAAACTGAAAAACTATCAGTGATACTTCATCTTGTTCGCAATTTTGTGTTCTTTCCAGTTATGCAGTTTAAAAGCTTTTTTAGTAAATTTAAGGGGATTCTAGAAATCCCCAGAGCGATACTCCAACCTTTTAACACCGGATTCGGATAGTCCACACTTTAATGTCTATGAAAAAGTACATCTCGTTTTATACTTAAGCCACACATTCGAGAACGGCGTCAAACAATATAAACCCCTTAGATCCTCAGAAGACCTTCGGTGTCCGGCTGAAGGTCCAAGTTAAAAACGATCTGATCGTATTATCGGACAGACTGTGTAATGCAATACATACATTCTAAAAAATGTGACTTCGGCGATGTGTCTGCAGAGAAAAAGTGTCTTATATGTAATTAGATTGCGTCGACGGGCAGACATATAGAAGTCACATTGGAGTCGCATGGAAGGCGTGTGAACGAGAAAGACGCTTAATAGCCACATCATCCCACCTTCCATGTGTCTCTAAGTTTTTAATCCAAGGCCTACACGAAATATCAACGTAAGAAGCTAATAAGACTAATAACTAATGTGACTGTGTGGTTAGGTGGTGAACACATTCGCTCGTAAGCCAATAGACCGAGCTCATTTCTTGACAGGAACAAAAAATTTTAATGCGCCCTTTCTAGAAGACACATCAAAGCGACTTCAAAAAAGGCGCTAAAAATACGACTAAATGGAATCCGACTTATGTGTCTTTAATGCGACTAGAACAAAGACGCTATAAAGTGACTACCAAGTAAAGTGGCATCATGTGTCTTCAAAGAAGACATTAAAATGCGGCTTTTTTCGATCCGAATTATGTGTCTTCCTAGAAGTTGCATGTTTTTTAGAGTGTAGGGTGAAAAAATCCCTCTTCCATCTCTTGTCCGTCAAACAATATAAATCCCTTAGATCCTCAGAAGACCTTCGGTGTCCGGCTGAAGGTCCAAGTTAAAAACGATCTGATCGTATTATCGGATAGACCGTGCA